ACTGGGCTATCTTAGCACCCAAAGACACAGACCAATTTTCATTCATGCTGCAAGGCCACAATTATGCAATCTCAGTACTCCCTCAGGGATACCTAAACTCTTCTGCCATTTATCACAAGCATTTTTTGTCACTACTACTACACTCTGATGCCCAAAACTTTCAATGATAGATGACATTCAGTTGGCTGGAGGGTCAGAAACAACAGACTCAATGGCTATGACTTTGGTGTTATCACACCTTCATCAGCAAAGGTAACTGATGATGCCAAAAAAACTAAGAGAGATTCATAATATCCAATACCTCTGGCAGTTTAGGAAATGTAATTGTCTCCCTTCCCCACAACCAAAAGGCAGCCTAGCATCACTTCGGACCCTGAGTATTGGAGACATATATGACTCACTTGGTCTTTTATATCAGCTAATCCCTATGGATTAGCTGATATAAATGAAGACCTACATTGGAAACTAATAAGCAAGCTCTCACACACTCCCTACTTTGAGGTAGCACAAACCTACTGACCCATTTGATCCGCAGGTCCCCATGACTGATGATTTTTTGTGTTGAAGCCTTTGAAAAAGGGAGGTAGCCTCCAGTCGAAAGTGTCTCTTAGGGTATAGGACTCATTAACTCCCTGAAACCTCTACATTTGAATAACAACTCTCGGTTTACTATTGGTTTTCTGTCAAAACTTAAGCCCTAACAACAGAAGCTTTGATATTCTCAATTTTGGGGTAGACCAACTCAGATTCATAACTAACTATTTGACAAGCCTTATTTGTCAACTGGAAATGATAATATTTAAGCGACAGGCATGTTCATAAGAGACTTGCAAGTTCTTAAAGAAACACCTCCAACAAATCATACAGCCCTTAGAAGGCAATAGAAATCTCTCTTAAATAAAATTCCTCTTAGTTACTCAGGGGAGCTTTTTGGAGAGATTACTGAAATATTATTTACATGCACTTAACAGTTATCTCTACAATAAGATTAATCAAATTAGAAAAGGTTCTACAGGAGAATCCAAGATGGCAGCATAGGTAACACCTAACTGCAGCCTCACACAACAATTTCAATAAAATACAACTAAAATATAAAATGGATATTATCCAGAACTACAGGAAAGTCAACTGACTGGAAATTCTACAACAAGAAGGAAAGAGAAAACCAGAAGAAAAATCAGAAGAGCTATAAGAGCCTAAGGTACAGAGGCACATTGTGCGCGTGAGGAGAGAAGCTGGAGAGGAGGGGGAGGCTGAGTGTCTGGCTGGAGTTCCCTAGCGGGAAGGAGATAAAAGCTCTGGACTGTGGTGAACCCCAGACCCAACAGCACTGAACCCCAGTTCTAGGCCAGACCCTGGGGACCCAGGCTCATACAGAGGGAGCCTGGGCTGTTAGGCGGAATCTCAGGGGAGCGGCCAAAGGCAGTGCCCCCGGAGGCATGCACATTACACGCAGAGGATGGACTGTTGACTCTGCTGGTAGATTGCCTTAGTGGGAAGGAGACATAAGCTCTGGACTGTGCTGAGCCCCAGTTCCGACTGCACTGAACCCCAGTTTTAGGCCAGACCCTGGGGATCCAGGCTCATACAAAGGGAGCCCAGGGTGTAAGGCGGAAACCCAGGAGAGCGGCGAAAGGAAGTCCTGGAGGCGTGCACATTGCACGCAGAGAATGGGCAGTTGACTGTGCCGCTGGATTGCCCTAGCGGGAAGGAGACAAAAGCTCAAGACTTCTCTGAACCCCACTTCCAACTGAACTGAACCCCAGTTCCAGGCTCTTTGGGGGAGAGCCTAGATTGTTTGGTAGCAGGCGAAACTTGAGGGCACCTTTCTCTCAGAGGTGCTTGCAACGAGTACTGAAGGACACTGAGGAATACGGAGACTCAGGAGCCTCATAGGGCATGGCTGATGGAGGCCAAGGTTGTAGGCTCCACCTTGAAATTCTGCCCCATCCAAGCTGAACACAGAGACTTTTAAGGCTACCAACTCAGGGAAGCTGCGAAAATGCTGAGACAAGGAAACAGATCACAAATGAAAGAAATGGAGGACAAAAAGTGACTGGATATAGAGTTTCAACCCATGCTTACAAGGTTTTTCAAGAATTTCCTAGAAAAGGTCGATAAGACCTATGAAGATATGAAAAGGGATCAACTATAAATAATAAGGGATCAACAAGAAATAATAAGGAATCAACAAGAAATAATAAGGGATCAACAAGAAATAAAGAATATATTGTATGAAATAAAAATATTATACAGAGTCCTAAAACAGAATGGAAGATCGCAAGAATCAAGTTAAAGATTTGGAACATAAAGAGCCAGAAGATACTCCTCCACAGAAGCAAGAAGACAAGAGAATCCAGAAAGTTGAAGATAATGTAAGAAACCTCTGGGACAACTTCAAGTGAACCAACGTCAGAATTATAGGGGTCCCAGAAGAAGAGAGAGAGCAAGATACCGAAAACATACTGAAAGAAATAGTGACAGAAAACTTCCCCCACCTGGTGAAAGAATTAGACTTACAAGTCCAGGAAATGCACAGAACCCCAAAGAAAAGGAATCCAAAGAGGACCACACCAAGACACATCATAATTAAAATTCCAAGAGCAAAGGACAAAGAGAGAATATTAAAAGCAGCAAGAGAGAAACCTATAAAGGAGCACCTATATGATTGTCAGCTGATTTCTCAACAAAAACCATGCAGGCCAGATGGGAATGGCAAGAAATATTCAAGGTGATAAATAACAAGAACCTACAGCCAAAAATACTCTACCCAGCAAAGCTAGCACTCAGAATCGAAGGCCAGATAAAGAGCTTCACAAATAAAAAGAAGCTAAAGGAGTTCATCAACACCAAACCAGAATTATATGAATTGCTGAAGGGGGTTCTTTAGGAAGAGGAAGAAAATAAAGATAAAAATTATGAACAACAAATATGTAACTATCAACAAGTGAATCTAAAGACCAAGGGAATTAAAAAACCTGATGAACAATATTAACTGTTTGGTTTTAAAAAAATATATTTTATTGATATTTTACAGAGAGGAGGAAGGGAGAGAGATAGAGAGCTAGAAACGTCAATGAGATAGAAACATCGACCAGCTGCCTCTTGCACACCCCCCACCGGTGATGTGCCCGCAACCAATGTGCATGCCCTTGACCGGAATCGAACCTGGGACCTTTCAGTCTGCAGATCAGGGCTCAACTACTGAGCCAAACCGGTTTCAGCTATTAACTGTTGAATATAATAGAATTAGAGGTATGGAAGGGGAGTGGACTGACAATTCTCGGAGAAAAGGGGAGTGGGGGGGGGGGTGCGGGAAGAGACTGAACATAAACTGTGCACCTATGGATGAGGACAATGAGGGGTGGGGAAAGGGCAGACAGAGGGTTGGGTGGGAACCTGGTGGAGAGGAAAAAATGAGAAAATTTGTAATAATGTGAACAATAAAGATTTGTTTAAAAAAAAAAGAAGAAGAAAAGAAAAAGAAAAGGTTCTACAAAATTTGTCTCTGGTTTAGTTGAACTAATCAATGACTCCACCTCATCCCTGGAAAGCCCTCTGGTCAGACTGTCACTCATCAGCATTGTTATTTGTGGTAATGGAATTGCCCAAAACTTCATCCTTGCAGGCCAAGGTAAAATATATGCACTAGCTAATACATTCTGTTAAACTTGGATTAACACCTCAGGCTAAGAGGAAAGGTCAATACAGAAACTTACAGAGAAATCCATATTGTTTCCTATGGTAGACCCTGAAGGCCAATATATTTATTTAGCTGGCTGAATACAGGACCTTGCCAGCATGGTTAAGGCTGATATGGCAGGTAGCCTTATCCTGTTGCTTAGAGTCCTTGTTGAGATCAGCTTTAATCGCATACTGTATGAAACAAGTGCTGAATGGATTTAGTCCCAATCTCTATTAATTAGATGAATCATGCTGGCAAATAACGTAGATACTCATTTGAAAAGTTGTCATTATGACTCTTGAAAACTGTACCATGTTTTTGGTTTTTATATTATTTGCAGTCTGACAAAGCCACGCCCTAGATCACAAAATCTACTCAATAATAGGCTGATAGTGTTGTCTCACATCTTAATGTTTGTTTTTTATTTGGCCCACATGTTTTATGTTCTTTGCTTTCTTGTTTCTTTTACTATTAATAAAAAAATTCCCCAGTCGGTATACTTTTTACCCTCCTTCTATTGGCTACCTAGTAGTTATAGCATGCATCCTTGACTTTTTTACAGCATAAAATAAATGATTACATTTGCCACTTCATCATTAATGCTGGTACCTGAAAACATTTAATTCCTCTTTTGGAGAGCTAATTGTCAGTAGCCAGTAAAACTGAAGATATACGCAGTAGCAATTACCCTTCAATAACTGAACCCAAAAGTTTGTCAACTTTTACAAATGGGCACGAGAAAACTTATGCAAGCCTAGTGCTAGTGTACTGTTTGAAAGAGAGAAAAGGTTGGAGGCAATTTCATGTCCATTAGTATGACAATGGATAGATAAACAGTGGTAAATTCATAAAATAAATTCCTATAGAATAATTAAAATGCATTAAATAGACAGAGGTCAACATAAATCCAATCAACATAATTTCAATGACAGTAACAGAAGAATATGTACAAAATGATACATAAATATTAGAGATAGATTTTATATGGATAGGGATATGGGCACTGAAAATAAACAAATGTGGGGAAAGGATACACTCTAACTTTAGGAGAGTGGTTACCTATGGGGAGGGAGGAAAATCTATGGGATAAGGGAAGGGTGCAGAAGTCTTACAAAATTTTATATGTTAAGGAATGCTGATGCATTGATGTCAAAGTGATCATTTTTAAAAATTTGAGCAAATGGTATTTAGGTATTTAAAATCTGAGCAAACACTATTACTCCTCTACTTTCCCCTTTTTGAAATATTTTATAAGTACCATATAAAAATTTTACATAAAAATTTTCAAATTAATTACAATGAGCATAAAAGTTACCTGAAAGTGTAGTTGCCTGACTAGGTGTTAATACAAACTGATTTTCCAAATATTTAGGCAAATATTGAATAGCTCCAATTTGAAGTAAAGATTCTGAAGCTTTGGTCATAGCTAGACATACAAACATTGGAGTCTTTAACAGAATCTGAAATAGAAATGTTACATATGGATTATTTTATTTTGTTAGCTAAAGAATCAATATTCCATTCATATGTTAATAACCAATCCACAAAAATTTAACCTTTCCCAATGCAAATAGAAATATAAAAATACAAATTCGAACAGAAATTTACAATTCACCTATCTACACATAACATGAAAGACATGTAGTGTTTGAACCATTTTTATTTGTAATTTGATCTCTATACTGCCTGTAATTTTTATTTGTGGCTCTGCCAGTTTGCCAGAAAGATTGAGAAAAATTATAAATATCGATAACCAGGGAAATTAGAATTTCTCTTAACTTTATTTTTTTTCTTAGCAAATATTTTCATTTTCTAAAAACAGACAAAGAAAAATTAAGCAGCACTAAGGGAAAATCACTAGGATTGAAGTCAAGAATCTATAATGTTTTAATCCAGGAAATTCCATATACTAAAGAGTAGAGTCATTTAAATTCTGCTTTTATCCCATTAAAAAATGGGCAGAGGACTTGAACAGAAACTTCCCCTAAGGAGACATACAAATGGCCAACAGATATATAAAAATATGCTCAACTTCACTAGCTATTAGGGAAATGAAAATCAAAACTACAATGAGATACCACCTCAAACTCATTAGAATGATTATCCTATATAATAAAAGGCTAATATGTAAATCAACCAATTAGTGGAACAACCGGTCTCTATGATGTGTACTGACCACCAGGAGGCAGACACTCAATGCAGGAGCCACTCAGCCCGAAGTTGGGCTCATGGCTGGCGAGCACAGCGGTGGTGGTGGGAGCCTCTCCTGCCTCCAAGGTAATGCTAAGGCTGTCTGACTGAGGGTTCCTTTCTCTCCATAACATCTCCATAAATAAAACTTGTGATTACTATAATAGTTTTATTGATAACTAGAGGCCTGGTGCACAAAATCCCTCAGCCCAACCTGCACACTCACACAATCCAGGACCCATTGGGGGATATCTGACTGCCAGTTTATGCCTGATCCTACAGGGATTGAGCCTAAACCAGCAATCAGACATCCCTCTCACAATCCAGGATCCCTGGCTTCTAACCACTCACCTGTCTGCCTAATCGCCCCTAACCATTCTGCTTGCCTGCCTGCCTGATTACCCCTAACCACCTCTGCCTCAGCTCCCACCACGATTTCATCTGGAATGACATCTGGAAGGTTGTTTGGCTAATTAGCATATTATGCTTTTATTATTATAGACTAAAGGCCTGATGTATGAAATGTGTGCCAGGGCCTCAGCCCTCACAGCTTTGGTGGTCTGCCTCAGCCCTGGCAGCCCCAGCTTCATCCAGAAGCTTGTCCGGAAGGACATTTGAAAGGTTATTTGGCTGTCCAGTCTAATTAGCATAGTATGCTTTTATTATTGTAGACTATAAGCCCAATGCACAAAATTCATGCAAGGGGCTCAGCCCTCGCAGCCCTGGCTTCTTCTGGAAGGTTGTCCAGATGGTTGTCTGGAAGGATGTCCGGATGGTCATTTTGCTATTTGGTCTAATTAGCATAGCAGCTCTTTATTAGATAGGATAGATACTATTCAGAGTAATTAACTCTGTACCTGCCTGTCTGGTGTTTTTCAGTGGTTGAGAATCAACCTATGAAGCAGGAGATCATAGTTTGATTCTTGGTTAGGGCACATGCCCAGGTAGCAGGTTCAATCCCCAGTGGGGGGCATGCAGGAGGCAGCCGATTAATGATTCTCTCTCATCATTGATGTTTCTATTTCTTTATTCCTTTTCCTTCCTCTCTAAAACCAATTTAAAAAGACATGACTGTAAATTACATTAAAATATTAATTTTCAAACTAATTTCTGTATTTCTTTCATATGTATATATTTTGGAAAATATTTACTGGTTGTTTTATGTTTTCATATTTTAAAATTAACTTAAAAATTCTTTTCTGGCCCTAAACACTGTATTTTAAAATTTAACATATTCTGTGTATTCATCTAATTTGTCTTCTGAGTGCTTTACATAGTATAATTCCATCATATTTATCTACTTCCATAGGGTTAAATTCTTAGGCTGATTTCAATATCCTATTGTTATTGATACAAACAAGGCTACATTAAAAATCCCTGTGCAGGAGCCCTTAAGGGCCTAGGAGAAAGTGTTTAGAAAAGAATATATCCCAGAAGAAATTTCTAGGTGACTAGAATTTGTTATACTTCATTCCATTATCTCCAGATTCTTTCTCCACACTGTATTAGCTTACACTCCCAATATAATGTAGGAGACTTTTATTTTCTTCCTTTAATAGCTATACTTTCTAAAATTCACCAGAGAAATATTTCTGATTCCACATCCTTTTTCAGATTTACCCCCCCCCCCCCCCCGCCATCAAGAGGCATTGAACATGAAAAGTTCTTTCTCACTGTTTCAACAAAACAAGTACAGGCACGGGTCACTTAAATATGTGGACATGTTCTAATTGGTCATTAAGGGATTTGGTCATTGTGTGAAATCAGAGTGCATTTATAAAAACCAAGGTTGTATAGTCTACCACATACTTAAACTGTATGGTATAGCCAATTGCTCTTAGGCCAAAACCTATGCAAAACAACACAAGACTTAATTGAAAACAAAATAAAATGAGGCAATAAGAAAATGAGGTGATCCTGGCTGGTGTACTCACTGATTATAGAGTCATCCATGCACCGAGGGGTTGTGGGTTTGATTCCCAGTCATGAGCATGTATCTGGGTTGCAGATTCAATCCCCAGCCCTAGTAGGGGTGCATGTGGAAGGCAACCAATTGATATATCACTTTCACATGGATGTTTTTCTCTCTCTCTTCCCCTTCTTCCTTCCTTTCCACTCTTTCTAAATATCAATTTAAAATATCCTTGGGTGAGGATTAACAAAAAAAAAAGAAAAAAAAAAAAAAAAAAAAAAAAGATGATGTAAACACAAGACATATAAGGCTGCTGTATAACATGACATATTGTTTAACAGCAAACTATTTTATAAGTAAATTGAGTACATTCAAAAATAATAATAAATAAAAAGTATAGTAGAGTAAATATATAAACCAGTAACACAGTCATTTATAATTATCACTAGAGGCCCAATGCACAAAGATTTGTCCAAGAATGGGCCTTCCAGAGAAACCAAGATGGCAGCCTAGGTAAGCACCTAAGCTGCTGCCTTACACAACAATTTCAAAACAACAACTAAAAGATAGAATGGACATCATCCAAAACCACAGGAAAGCTGGGTGAGTGGGAAATCTACAACAAGAGAGAAGGAGAGAGGATCACGAATCAGGGGAGCCACAAAGCGCTGAGTTAGGGAGATGCACGCTCGCAGAGAGGAAGGGCGGCAGAGTGCCTGGCTGGCGGGAGGGGAAAGGAAGCCCCCAAATGCACTGAATCCCAGCCCTGGCCCAAATCCCGTGGACCCAGGCTCATACGGGTGGAATTTGGACTGTAGAGAAAGGCACCCAGAGACTCAGAGACTGGGAAACTCAGGGGAGCCGGGAGCTGCAGCGGGCAGGGTCTACAGTTGCACATGAGTGAGTGCACACAGAGAGGTCTGACCATGGAGGTTGCCACGGCCTCTCCATAGGAGAAGAAATTGGAAGCTCCAGACTACAGAGACTCAATTCTGGGCAAGCCCCTGGGGCACCCATGCTCTTGACAGGAAATATGAGCTGTCAGATGTAAACTCAGGGAATCCCTGGAAGGCAGAGGTCTGAGGCAAGTGCACAAGGGCAGAGCTGACAGGAAGCCAAGAATGTCGGCTCAGCCCTGAGACTCTGCTCCATCCAAGCTGAGCACAGAGGCTTTTGCAATTTTGTAAGTCTGATCCTATAAGACTGTCTCCAATACAGAAGGTATCCTGTAGCAGACACAGCTAATACTCACATTCAATTGGCCTGAAGGTCAATTCCTCCCAGTGATACAAACAACAATCAAGACTTACCTACAATAAGACTGTACACGTAGTACACAAAGGGGAATACCAAGAGTGTCTTCCTCAGGTAACTGGGGAAACTCAGCTACTGGGCCATATAGGACACCAAATACACAAAGCCATCCTACCAACTCAGGGAAGCAGCAAAAATGCTGAGACAAGAAAAGAGATCTCAAATGAAAGAGATGGAGGAGAACAAAAGACTGGATATAGAGTTCAAAACCACGGTTATAAGGTTTTTCAAGAATTTCCTAGAAAAGGCTGATAAATTTAATAAAGACTCTCAAGGATATGAAACAGGACCAACTAGAAATTAAACATACATTGACTGAAATAAAAAAAATATACAGAGACCCCATAGCAGACTAGAGGAATGCAAGAATCAAGTCAAAGATTTGGAATACAAAGAGGCAAAGGACACTCCTCTAGAGAAACAAGAAGAAAAGAGAATCCAGAAAGTTGAAGATAATGTAAGGAGCCTCTGAGACAACTTCAAGCATACCAACATCAAAATTATTGGGGTGCCAGAAGAAGAGAGAGTGTAAGATACTGAAAACCTATTTGAAGAAATAATGTCAGAAAACTTCCCCCACCTGGTGAAAGAAATAGACTTACAAGTCCATGAAGAGCACAGAACCCCAAACAAGAAAAATCCAAAGAGGACCACACCAAGACACATCATAATTAAAATGCCAAGGGCAAAAGACAAAGAGAATCTTAAAAGCAGCAAAAGAAAAGCAGTTGGTTACCAATAAGGGAGCACTCATATGTCTAAAAATTCTTAACTAATTCTATTTTAGCAATTAGATGGGTATGGTTCTATCAGGTTGTAATAAAACTTTTTAAAAGAGTAACAAGTTATTCAGTTTATTGTTTTTAAGTTATCCCATTTAAACTGCATACCAATTCTTACCTGGTAAACTGAAAGTAAAAACTTCTCAAATTATTATTTACATAAAGTCCAGATGGGTTTAAAGCAAGTCAATCTCACTTGAAATGAATGTTTTGCTCTTGTCCAACTTTGGCAATGTGTTAGGAATAGCACAAGATTATTTGT